GGAAGAAAGGGCCAGAGAGCTCTCTGGGGTCTTTGACAAGGGCACTAATTCCTTTCCTGAGGGCTCCACCCTCGTGACCTAATTACCTCCCAAAAAGCCCACCTCCCAACACCATCACACTGAGGGTTAGGGTTTCAACATGCGAACTTTGATGGACACAATATACAGTCAATAATACAAAGTTCTTGAAATTCTGTCTTTGAGCACAATGTAATTTTGATGGGTCGCTTTTTGTAGAAAACTGAAGTAAGTCCTAGGCATATTATAACTGTCAAAGATTTGGAAGGATTTTAAAATTTTATTTTAGATAGAATAAGAAACTGAGGCACTGAGAAGAGATGTAACTGGTCTATGATCACTTAGCAGGTACCTGGCAGAGGTAAAGGTTGAACCCAGTCAACTTGACCCCAGACACTGTGCTCTATAACCACTGTGTTAGAAAGAATCGATGGCCAGGGCTGAATGCTGGAAGTGCTCACTGGAATGCACAGAATCTGGATGGTTGGTCTATGGAGAACAGGGTTCCTCTCCTGGACTGGGGTTTGAGGTCATGGATTCATTCTGTTCCCAGAGCAGAAGATTATCCAGAGCAAGGCAGGCCATGGTCCTAGGAGGGCCTGAAGTTATATTTGTAAGTGATAGCTAAGAAAGGTTATGTTAAAATAGACAACTAGATATTAAAAATTTTGGAACTTATATGGCAATTGATTATTTACAGTCTATCTAAGGTTTTTAGAGTGTAAGAGCTTCCTTGTAATAGGGACATCTAATCCCCATCATTTCACTACAGTGCCTCACCCACGCCTCATCTGTGGGTTGTCCTCAGATCCAGAACTTGTCAGGGTTGACCTTTCTGTCTTCAGCTGTCAGGTTCGGGGTGGGGGGTGTTGGCTGGTGCCTGTGCCGGGGAGGGGGAGTCTAACTGCTGCAAATACAGCCTTTCAACTGATTTTCTGTCTTCAGCATCTCCCCACATTCTCATCTTCCAAGGTACTTGGCACCTGGATTCTTGAGGCTTCCCAGGGTTCTGCAGCACAGTCAGCTCTTCCTGGGTGTGGCCTTCTCCCACTTCTGGGTGAGGTGTCAGTTTTCTCCAGACCCAGGCTTCCGGGACTAGACCTCCTTTCACTCCTCTTCTCTTTGCCCTGGAGCATGATGCCTTGTTTTGTCCCTTTACCATCATTTGAGTAGGATTTTAGGATGTATTCAATCCATACTTCCAGATATCTCTTTAGTTATATCAGTAAAGGGAAGTTGGATTGAAGCAGAACCAAGAATAATCTCTAAGTCAGTATAAAATCAGAAATGTAGACTCTTATTCTGATAACACTAGTACTGATAAGCTGCTGAGGCAAAATTAGAGGGATTTTTTTTTTCTTAATGAATGTTAATTCTGGCAAAATTATACCAGAGCTGGTTTCTATAGACAATTTAATTCTACTTAAAAAGATGCAATAATATATGTAATATTTGTATGTACCTATGATATACATAATACACACTGGATGTTGAATCCAGTAGTTTGTTACACAGATTGATGGAGAGTCACGTGATGAGTTCAAACCTGACTGTTGGGGAGGGTGACGGTGTTACTTCTCCACCCACCCCACTCCCCACCTGGTCCTCTGTCTTGTTCACTGATTGTTCTGTCAGTCTCACTGTAGCTAACTTAAGGAAAAAGGAATTTATTGGAAGGATAAGAGGGGTTCATAGACCCAAAAGGATGCTGAAATTCAAATAAAGGGATGACAAGAACAAAGAAACTCAGGGACTGATGCAGGAAGCAGAGATTATAAACTGTCAACCTGGTCAGAATGTCGCTGCTGAGGCCACCACTGGGTAAGACTAGTCTTTCAGGAGCCCCCATCCTTACTGTGCTCTCTGAGGATTCACAGTCTGGGGATGTGCTTGCCGCTGCAAGAAGATGCTAAAGATGTCATCGAGTTGCTCACAACTGTGGGAACCTGGACTTGATCCTGCCGGGACCTTCCGAGTTGTGTACAGCCTGCCTCTCAGAGTCGTCCACCCACCGGTGAGATGAGCTAAGATCAGGCAGAGGACAGATCTGTACCTCTGGCTTTTATCTTCTGAGAAATGGGAGGGAAGAGCCAGGGCGCTCTCAGGAAGGGGGCTGTGTGTCAGACACCTGTTGGTCCCTGCCTCACGTCCTCTCAGCCTTAGCACTTTTGCAGCCTTGGCTTCGGCAGACAGTGCCGTGTGGGCTTCAAAAGGCTTCGTGCTGACAGCACCTTGCCTCCAGCATGCTCTGAGCATCTTTGGCTGCTGCCAGAACAGCTGATCCAGTGCCGTGGGGGACTGCTCAGCATGCTCCCAGGCACAGCCCTGAAGTCAGGGCAGTTAGTATCTTCTGGGGCCACCCTCAACCAATGGATGATGAATAAATATTTCTCCCCACCAAATTCTTTGGTAGACAATTGCGAAACCATGTACACACCCTCAGCATGCCCTGGGGGGATCAAGCCCCATCCGTCCCCAGGCAAGTAGTGAATAACTTGATAAAATATCCCTGCTATGGTTTTTCTTCTTCCCCGTTTTACACTGTCTGGTCCCTTACTCTTGCTCCCTCAAATCACACACTAAATAAACTACCTGCATACAAGTCTTTGTTTCAGGCTCTGCTTTGTGAGGACCTAGGCTAAGTCACAGCAAATGCTGAGGACCCAAAACAAAGTCGGCCTCAGGCCATAAAAGCAGTACACAGCATTTATGTGGCTCCTGTTCATTCTAATTTTAAATATTAGGAAAACAGTAATGCAGTATATCCAAGGTGTCAGTACCTGCTGTCCCGTTGCAGAGGTCCCTTGCATGGACAGACCTTGCATGCGCAGTTCAGTCCCCCTAAGGGTGGGCCAGCCTTTCCCCAACCCCACTTCTTACTAAGTGTCCATGATCTGACACCTGTTGGGCCTATGGCATCCTGAAGTGCAGTGGGGTATAACCAGGGGACAATAGAAGGAACCCCAGAAAAGTCTTTCTTTCCAACATGTCCCTCCTACTGTGCATGCATCGGGTCTGGGGCTTGTGCCCCCAAAGTGATGTTCCCTTGGGGACTGAAAGCAAAATCAATTGGTGTTTTAGCCATGACAGGTAAGCCTATGCTGCATTAACAAATATGTCCCAGATTTCAGTGACTTAAACTGAATAAAAGTTTCTCACTTATGCGAAGTTTAATGCAGATGCTTCTCATCTCGCAGCTTTCCAGGGTGGGATCCTCCAAGTTCTTTCCATCCTGTCCGTTCACCATCTTCATGCTTATAATCCCCAGGGTGCAGTGAAACAGAAAGCAGGATCAAGTGTGGATGATTTCTTATATTTCAGGCCTGGAAGTGACACTTGCTACTTTTGTCCACATGCCATTGGCCAGAACCAGTCCTGTGGTTGCACCTACATGCTGGGCCTGGAGAATATAGGTGCCCTGTGGGCTCAGGAGGAAAAGGAAATGCCTTGCTGAGCCTAAGGAGTGTCTCTGCCACATCCGGAGGGGGGTTCTCGTTCAGTGAAAGCTGGACCAGCACGGAAGAGGACTCACATCCCTCCTCAGACCCACTCTCTTGGCACTGGGCTTTTTTCCCCATGGGCCACTTGTCCCAGATTAATTCCCAGGCTTCCGAGGGCCCACCCAGTCTTTGCCCATCTCTTGCTGCTCTCTTCAGTTCCGCCATCGCCACAACCTCTTCATCCCTCTCCAGGCCCCACGTTCTCTCACAACAGACTTCAGTGGCTCACTAAATCTAGAGCCTAAATCAAAAGCAGCTGGAATAATCAAATCCGTTCTTCAAGGGCATGGAAGGCTCAGTCTTTGAAGCCTCCCAGGGGGTAAGAAATAATTGCTTTCCCTCTAATTCAGCAAAGAAAGGATCGAAAAAGAACAAAACAGTCCAATTTTCCTATTCAGAGTGACTGAGTATTTAAATTCTGCTACAACTGTTTTATGTTCCTTTTCTCCATCCGCCTTGTCCCCTTCCCAGTTCAGGTCCTTACCGTCTCCCACCTGGACCTGTCCAGAGTCTTTGCCTCTGCCCTACACACATTCTTGTCTCCTAAAATGAAAATCTGTCCAAGTCATTCTGCTGTGTGGAAACCTGTAATAGTTCTCGATAGTCCTACAGATATGCTTACACTCAACAGCCTGATACCTAAGGTAGGCAAAATAATACAGCCCTTCCCCCCTCAACCACGAAGATGTCCACATCCTAATCCCCAGAGCCTGCAAGCATGTTATGGTAAAATGGACTTTGCAGATGTGATTAAGGATCTTGAGATGGGCAGTTATCCTGGATTATTGCGGTGGGCCCAAGGTAATCAAAAGAGTTCTTATAAGAGAAAGGCAGAGGATATGAATAGTAGGAGATGTGATGATGGAGGCAAGAGCTTGGAGGGGTGTGAAGAAGGGGCCATGAGTCATGGAATGCAGGCGGCCTCCAGAGGCTGGAACAGGCGATGAATGGATTCTTCCACGGAGCCCCCAAAGGAACCAGCCCTGAGACGCCTTGATTTTAGCCCCATAAGACTTATTTTGGACTTCTGGCCTATGGAATTGTAAGAGAATAAACTTACGTTGTTCTGAGCCATGAAGCTTGTGGTCATTGATTCCAGCAGCAAGAGGAAACTAACACAGTTCCCAAGATTCTTTCTACCCTGGTCCCAGGCTGCTTTTCCACTTTCATCTCCAGCCCCTCTCCCTTCTCTCTCCTCCAGCCACAGTGGAAGAAGCACTGTTTTTCAAACATTTTGAAACCCTCCTTCTGCCATCCCCCTGCTCCTGCCCTTCTGCACCTGAAAACCTGTTAACCTCCTGCTCAGGCTCCAGCTTGAGCCCAGATTCCCTGTGTGCAGACAGCCCTGCCCTGTCCTTCCTTTTCTCACTGCATCGCCACCACTTTGAACATAGCTAATCATTTATTTAGCCCGTCTCCCTTACCAGAGCAGGAACTCCTCTCTAGAAAAGATCATTTAAGCATTTCTAGTTTTTAGACCAGTGCTGAAACTACAATAGATGCTAATAATGTTTATTAAGGGGAACTTAATTTTATATACCCATCCGTGTGAAATGCTTTAGGTATGGAAAACGCAACCCATATCAATCTGTTAAGGAATTTTCCACGTGATGTGGACTTCAAGCTCTATGCAATGTTAGGCAGTCTTCTCACCTTTCCTACCCCCATCCAATTTTAAATTGTCGTAGGATCAGAAGTAATAATAATACATTGGATAAATTCATTTAATTGATCTGGGTTAAACTTTATAACTCTACTACTAGGTAATAAATAATATTTATATATTGTTACTATTACATTTACAACATCACTTGCAAACTTGAAAATGTACAAAGGCTTCAGGACAATACAATAATCATAGCAAAGTTTCATGTAATTAAGTTAACTCAATTCTTTGAGTGAATATTTTAAGCAATTAAAGACCTCAGATTTTAACAAGTCAAATCTAGTTTAAGATAAGTTTTTGTATAGACATTATGAATAGACATAAGCTCATAATACGAAACATTAGGTCACATTCTCTAGACACAGCTGCTAAGGAACTGATCTTGGGCAAAAATTTCCAAATCTCCAACTTAAAAAAATCAGAACCCTAAACATTTATGAAAATACAACTCAGAAGAAAATTTAGGGCTTCCCTAGTGTAATCTCTTTCTTCGATTGAACAAGAGAAGCAAACTTCGTGACATGCATCTGTAGATATCTGACCTTTTCAGAATTTACAGGAACAGCAAGAAACATTGCACAATCACAAATCCATCCACAATCTCCTAATCCTGAGGACAGAGCTTAGCAGTATGTTTTCATGATAATTTTATCTCCATCTTACAGATAAGGAAAGTGGCTCTGGGAGGCTGAGGTCCCACTGAAGGTCCCACACTGGTAAATGATGGAGCTGGAATTTGATCAAGTCCAGTACCTATCGTCTCGACTACGAGGCCAAACTGCCTCCTAAGCAGGACATCAGTCGGCCTAGAGCTGCCTCCAAGCAGGGTCACCATTTTCCAGGTGACCTCCAGAGTAGGGTGGCTTCTGAACACCCCAGTGGTCACAGGGAGTGGGTAGGGGTTGAACAGGGCTAACCAGGACATAGCAGGTCTGAACACTCCTGCCTCTATTTTTGGCTGACGCTGTTCCAGGCTGTGATGGTCTCGCTGAAAGGTCTGGGGACTCCAGGCCTCTCAGGAATGTCTCTCTGCCCCCAATCCTGACTTTACAGTGAGAGGTTTCTGTTCCCAGACAAATAAGTAGTGTGTAGAAGTCCTTTTGCTGTGAGAAATAACTGCAGACTCCACTCTCCATGGCATGTCCACTCTGTTATATTGGACTTAATTATTTGAATTTAATTTGTTAATAGATTGAAGTTTAATTTTAAACCTAGAATGAATTTTACTAGTGAGGATACAGCTTATTTAAATTCTTAATAGCCATAGTATCCTCATAAAATGAAACAGAAAATTGTTACCTTTGAGAAATTCCTCCCCTTGACAGGTTCTTGTCCTAAACCATATTTCTGATTCTCTCTTTACTGTTAGCCTTGACAGTGGAACCAAGTTCTTTCAAATCCACAGTTGGGTGTGGACACTGCTTCTACCCCCGACCTGGGAGGAGCCGGAGGTAATGGTGTCACAAAATTATATACAATAAATGTGCTTTTCACTCTGCCTTTCCTGAAGATTTAGCTTTGTCTCAGGGTCTGGTTATGGGAAAATGAAACGAAGTCAGAGGCCAAATGAAACTCCACTGTGGGTTCAAATCCATGTCCTTTCTGATGGCTGGGTCTTCAACCCTGAGAGATCACTCTATGTTCCTAAGCTTGGACTCATTGTCTCTGGTTTAAAAAGCCTTCTGCATAGGCTTGGACCTGGGGTGGCCCACCACTGTTGGACACTAGCTAGTGACTGCTAGGACCTGGCTCTGGTGTCAGACATAGCTTCAGGGATGCACAGGAAGTTGGTGTTTGGAAACGCCAACAGATTCGGATCTGACAGCACCTGTTCCGTGAAGCCTTTCCTAGTCTCCTCATCCCCCAAGTAGGTATAACTCACCTCCTCCTTCGCACCTCCCCCACCTTGGACACACTTCCGGCCTAGCATCAATGGTATGTTATAATGATTTGTTCACGTCTATGTCTTTATGATAGACAGCAAGCTCCTTGAGGGAAAAGATGATGTGTTCTTCATCATTGTGTCCCTGCTACTGACCAAGATGCTAGAAATCAATATTATGGAAGTACTTAATAATAAATGTGCGATTGATGAATGAATGTGTTTCCATGATCCCCTCCCAGGATCTTCAAGAGTAAGATTTTGTGAATGATGGGCCTGCATAAAAGCATCCGTCCATCATGCTCATCTGAGGCAGGTGAGGCAGGTGGCTGCGCCAGTTCTACTGGCGGTCCAGTCAGCACACTCAGAGGCAGGCGGGGAAATGGGGCTGAGCCTGGCAGCTTCTCGCTCCTCTGGCCTCTTGAGTTATTTGGTCTCTTGAGCTATTTCCTGGAGGTAGAAACCAGGAGCCTACTAGCTGCATAGGCTCCTGGGTCTGTCTTTGGAGCTTCCTATACTAGGAACAGGGCCAGCCTGGCCTCTGGTGTGGCCAGTGGCAACCTGCTCAATAGCAGCAAGCATTAAGCCACCAGTTCAGCAGACGACAGGCTGTGGGCTGGTGACTCACCCCTCTCCTCCCTGCTGGAGCCACAAAGAGCTATGCTCATGTTCTCTGATTTCGGAATGGGATGGGAGAAGGCTGTCAGACATCTTCCGCAGCTTTTCCAGGAATCCTGTAGTGTCATGCCTGAGCTTGGAGAATGCGGGCTATCAGAGCAACTTATTTTGCCCTTGGCTCTTCTAACTAGTTGGTGAGAACACTGTTCTCAGCTGTAAGACAGAAGACATAATGGAAAATTAAATCCATATTTTATATTCGGTTAGAAGGAAGACGCATAGAAAAGGCCAGAGCCTCTTATTCACAATGAGCATAAAGATACATATATATATAAAGAAGTGGTGAAATAAACTATGCAACACAACACCCAAATTTCAGAATACTATAGAGTTTTGTTTTGGTTTTTTTGGTGAGGAAGATTGGCCCTGAGCTAACACCTGTTGCCAATCTTCCTCTTTTTGCTTGAGGAAGATTGTCGCTGAGCTAATGTCTGTGCCAGTCTTCCTCTATTCTGTATGTGGGATGCCACCACAGCATGGCTTGATGAGCAACGTATAGGCCCACACACGGGATCTGAACCAGCGAACTCCAGGCCATCAAATCGGAGCGTGCGAACTTAACCACTACGCCACCATGCCAGCCCCTTAGAATACTATAGAGTTTTTTAAACAAGTGAGGACTATCTACTAGTACTGACAAGTAAATAAATCTATGATACACTTTTAATTTAAAAAGAAAATAATCTAATTTATGTTTTTAAAACAACCTTATAGGTGTGTCTGTACACCTGTGTAGTTTTTAAAAGCAAATGTCTATAAGAAATATGCAAACAAATGATTTCTGTTGGGGAGAGGTAGATAGAAGGTGGAAGGCAATTTTCATATTTTTATTGTTCATAATTCTATTTTGTTTAAATTTTTATAACAAGGATCTTTTTTAACTTAAAAACCAAAATATGAAGAAAAAGTCAAATTAACAGAAAAAAGAAAAAATGGGCACAGGAAATGAAAAACTTTTAAGAGAAAACATGCAAATTGTCACTTACCAAAATTTTTAAAAGCGTATTTTAACGAATTTTAAAGAAAATCAAATTAAAGCAACAACGAAGTGCTATTTTTGTCACATCAAACTGGAAACTATTTTTTTTTAATGTTTAGTAAGTAGTCTGGACAAGAATACAGTGGGAAAGATGGAACATTCTTTTCCACTGGTGGTGGGAGTTTATGCAATTTACATTGGCACATTCATTCAGAACAATAGAGGCAAAATATATTTGAAACTTGAAAAATTTTTACTTTTATACTTTACTCACCAACTCCAATTCTAGAACCTATCCTAAGGAAATAATCAGAGATGTGGTAAAACAATTTTATGTGTCAAAATACTCATCACTAATCATTGATAAGAACAAAAAAGTAAAAACAACCTTTACATTCAATAAGACTAAAATTGTTAAAGAATAATATTATGCAGTCATTAAAAATCTTGTGCTCAAAGAATATTTAATGCCATGTTAAAATCTCATTTTATAATTCAGTGAAATTGGAGATAAAAAGTGTTTAAGGTATGAATTCAACTTTCTAAGTAAACAAATATCTTGATATGCATATACATGCATACAAACACAGATAAGAGACTAGAAAAAGCTGACTGAAACATTAAAATTTGTCATAGCTGGCATTGCAATTACAGGGGATTTTTATTTCTTTATAATTTTCTACATTTTCCATTTTTTCAGCAATGTTCTTACTTTTGACTTATAAGCAGGAAAAATAATAAAGTTAAACTAAAATAATATCAAAAGTAAAAGGGAAAAACCATACTTTAGTTCTTTTCGACTGGCACCAAGCAGATCAACCATTGGCCACGTTTGTTCGGTGTGCTTCTCTTAGTGAAACGTGTTTTAGGGCAGAGGAGATCCAAAAAGCCAGTGGTATCTACTTGTAAATTTTCATAAGCTTTTTATGTAGAATATCCTGGGGTTTTTGAATTTGGAATTGCATACTTCAAATAAACACATAACTGCTTTGAAAGATCCATAAGTATTTTTACCACATCCGGGGAATTCAAATAGATTCAGCTGGGTTGTACCCGCCAAGCACATATGTATAAAGATCTTGTTACAAAGGAGCTGTGCGTTCACGGTTCAGCTCCAACTCTGATTAAGCCCCGCACTGAGACGGGGTTGAAGGCATCTGTATTTTGGATCCAGAGGATAAAAGAGCTGACTTTATCTCACCACACTCTCCAGGAAACAAATGCTCCAGATACCAGTCCTGGCACCAGCAAATGCTCCCCAGTTGTTTCCACTAATGCCTCATCTTTACGTAAATGTTACTTTTGCTGAGTGTTGTTTGTTGTTTTTTTTTCAATATGAGGAAAGGAGATTCTCAGGGAAGATATTTTAAAAAATTACTTGCCTTAAAGTGTTTCTTAAAAACACAACTCTGTATGCCTTATATGGGTGAGGTTACATAGTCAGATTCGGTAAACATTTATGCTTTGCACTTTCCTTTAAAGTAAACAGAAAGTTCTGGCGTTGGCTGGAGATCTGCCTCTGAGTGCTAACGAAAACACCCACCATGGTCCGGGTGGTATGTGACAGGCGAGTGTTACTTGCACAAGTACCTGGGAATGTACGGTGGTCCCACGTAGCATGGGCAGCCAGCTTTGTCCGGTTGATATGATTTGACAAGCTACTTTGAAGTCACTGACGTTAAACCTTTGGTTTCTCTAACTAGTCACAGTATGTATTCGACTCTGCTTCTGATTTACAATGTCATGTCATGCATCACTTTAATATTATCTCATAGAAAGTGAAAGATTATTCAGTATTTGGGGTAAAATAGCCTGGAACTTAAAATCCCCCCTCATTTGGCTCAATCTCCATGTGACTTTAGGCATCTTTTTATTGTGGAGGGCTCTTCCTAGAAACTAGATAGAAATATATCAAAGGCACTGTGTAGGAACTCTCATTACTATTTGCACATTATTCATCTTAGTTCCCAATTTATATAATCTATATAATCATCTAAAAGGAGACGGGGCAGTTAACCAAGATATGTGTAATGTCTTACCAGTTACTGATGCCACACGGCATTCCCGTGGCAAGCCTGCAGCACATCCATATAAGTGGTATGTGGGACATGTGTCAGTGCACAGACACTCTTCTCACGGGCTGTGGAGTCGATCGGTCCATGGGTTAGGAGAGTCCTGGCTCCAGGGCATGTGCTCTTTGTTCACCTATCCTATCCCAAAGCTCTTGGAATCTCCTGAGCCATCAGAAGCTCTTTGAAAGGCAGTGTGGATCCTGTTCCTATTGGGTTATGTAAGTCTAACTTCATTTTCTACTCTCTGACCACAATGTTCTAGTTAATCAAATAAAAAGGCATTTTATGAAATAAATTAGACTTTAGTGCAAATATGACAGGTTACTTGGGTTTTTTTTAATAATGAGGAACAAAATGGAAATAAAAGTTTCCAATGGCCTAAAGAGGCTCCCAGAAGCCTCTTTTGTGAAGGCTGAATGCCTCAGGCAACACGGTCACGACTGGCTCAGCGAACCAGCTGTGTGCGGTGCGTCCTCTGCACCTGCCCTGCCTCACAAGCGTGTGGCCGCCACCTGACTCCATGTAACTGTGCTGTCCTTCGAAGTTTTCCATAACCTGTGAGGTCCAAATATTCTTCAGAAACTCAAGTCCATCACTTTTCAGGCCCATTTCCCCTAGATCCAGAGTGTGAAAATCAGTTTGAACCCAATTCTTCCATGACTTTGGATAATTTACCTACTGTTCCTACAAAGCCTCAGTTTACTTATCTATCAAATATCTGTCAGGTGTATGGTAAGCATTAACTGAGCTAAGCTATTTAAAATGCTGTCACAAAGACGTACAAATGGCCAAGAAGCACATGAAAAGATGCTCAATGTCATTATGGAAATGCAAATCAAAACCGTGAGATATTACTTCACACCACCTTGGAAAACTAGAATCAAAAAAATGTAAAGTAAATGTTGGTGAGGATGTAGAGAAATTAGAACCCCCGTGCATTGTTGGTGGTAACGTAAAATGGAAACTAGAAGGTAGTTTGACGATGCCTCAATAAGTTACACATAGAATTACCATATGACCCAGTACATCCCACTCCTGAGTATACACCCAAAAGAGTTGAAAACAGGCACCCAAACAAAAACTTGTACATTAATGTTCAGAGCAGCATTATTCCCAACAGCCAAAACAGAAACAACCCAAATGTCCATCAGCTGATGAATGGATAAACAAAATGTGGTATGTCCATAAAATGGAATATTATTCAGTGGTAAAAAGGAACCAATAAGTACTGATACATGCAACAACATGGATGAAACCTTGAAAATATTATGCAAAGTAAAAGAAGCTAGATCCCAAAGGCTGCATATCATATGAATCCATTTATATGAAACATCCAGAGTAGGCAAATCCATAGAGACACAAAGCAGAGTTGTAGTTGCCAGGGACTGGTGGGAGGGGAGAATGGAGGGTGTAATGAGTATGAGGTTTCCTTTTAGGGGTAAGAAAAATGTTCTAGAACTAGATAGTGGTGAGGGTTGCACAACATTGTAAATATACTAAATGTCACTAATAGTAAATTTTATGTTCTGTATATTTTACCACTATAAAATATATTATGACATAGTAAGCATAACTAATTAATTTTGGCATTTTTATGTATACTCAGAACAATATTATCATGCACTGAGTTTTATTCTACTATTATTTAATGATATACTTCTCATCTCTCTAATTAAGCTGCGTGCTCCCTCAGATCACGACAGGACCTCAAGACCTCTTGCCAAGCCATCCCTGTATATAGGCACAGCTTCCTGTTCTGAACGTCTTGTCTGTCCCAAAGTCTCTAGCCCATGGGCCACTTTGAGCTCTGAAATTCCAGCATGAGAAGGACTCCTTTGTGTAAGGCTCTGTGTCTCTACCGGCCCCTGTTGTAATGCAAGTTTAGTAGCTGGAAGAGTTAATACAATGTACCGACAGACCAGAAAACTTAACACCTTAGCATGAATCAAGCCAGTCACCAAAAAAAGCATCTGAGGAAATGGGACCTTGCACAGGAGACTAGGTGGGGGGTGATGGGTGACAGTTTTGCCTGTTAAGGTGAACTTTGGTGCATGGATCTGAACCACCAGGGCAGTGGGAGAAATCAACACTCCGGAGGAGGGCAGCTGAAAGGGAAGTGAGGAGACCTGAGAAGCAAATGTCACCCATTTGAGATTTTACCAAGATCTTTCTTGTGCCCAAAGCTGTTATGCCAACCCCAACAGAATGGAGACTCAATATGACAAGCACCATGCTTCTTTCGAAGGAAGAAATAAGTGAATGGATGATGTCTGGATTAGGTTTAAAAATACCTCTTTCCTGGGGCCAGCCCAGTGGCACAGCAGTTAAGTTCATGCGCTCTGCTTCGGCAGCCTAGGGTTCGCCAGTTCGGATCCAGGGTGTGGACATAGCCCAGCTTATCAAGCCATGCTGTGGCAGGTGTCCCACATATAAAATAGAGGAAGATGGGCACAGAGGTTAGCTCAGGGCCAATCTTCCTCAAAAAAAAAAAACCCCTCCTTTCCTATACTCCTTTCTTTTATGACCAGTATAACTAAAATAACAATAATAATAGTTAACATCTATAGGGCTTATCATAGACTAAACAATTGATATAATTATTTCATTCAATCTGTCCATAATCTTATTAGATAGTTACTATTATTATCCCCAATTCAAAGAAAATGGAAACTGAAACTTAGGAAGCTTAGGCAACTTGTTCAAGTCACACGGCCTAATGGAGTCAAGTTTCAATCCATCCAGAACCTCTGCTCTAACCACTAGGCTGACTGTTCCAATGCCCTCTGTCACTCTGGGTGGAACACCAGCGTGGGCTGAATGGGTCTAAGAAAATGAGTCAGAGCCGCCACAAGCAAAGAGCAATCACAAACACTCTGCGGCGTAGGGCCATTTTGATCATTTCCCTCTGTGCTCCTCCCAGTCGCCCCACACCTCCCACTGAGCCTGGGAGCTGGAATTGTGATCAAGGCAACGATCAAGCATATCAAGTGCTCCTTCCAGGTTGGCTTGGCGTTTTCCCTTTGTGGAAAACAAAACTAGACAAAAAGGCATATTGAAATAATGGATAAAACTCATAACTCTTATTGGTTGTTAGGTAATATTTGTTGCAATGTTTAGCCTGTGTGGAGTGTCTACATCCTGTTGTATTTCTTTTATTTTGTTTCAACATACCTATGAAATTACCATTCAGGAGTTACAGTAACATGTCTGCTATGCCATCTATATTTACTCAGTGACTTCCTAGGATAGCCTTGTGAACAGCGACTTTGGACAATCCAAAACCCTCTGTTGAATATTTCCTAGCTTTGGCAGTAACTGTTGTGTGAATTGGACCAATTCTCCTTCCACCTATGAAGATTTGTTTATCACATGTATGTGCCTTCAATGCAGCTGAAAGAAAAGTAAGACATTGGATCCAAAACATCCGGGTACAGAGTACCATATAATCAAATCATCTGGTGACTCCAAGTTTGGACAATGTCTACAAATTAATCTGCGTATGCATAATTTGGGAACACATAGGTAGACTGGGTCTATTTATCAATCTTCTTCTATATATCTTTCTCTCTAATTACTCAAAAACTCAGTGTGGCTTTTACCTAGAATTTCTGTTACTTTCATGAGCTGTAGAATTTTACTTTCATAACTGAGGACTTGCTACGCTATAGCTTTTCATCCAGCTAATTGTAAAACATTTATGTCTTCCACGCTGTGATGCTCTCCAGAGGCACTGAGCAGGGAATGCATCAGGTTTAAATCCAAGAGGGGTGTCACCAGGAGCAGCTGTCCCTGTCTTACTTGAGCAGAGGAATGGAGTGACTGGGTACACGTTACAAACCCAACCGCGCACATGTGGTAACGTGTTATTCCAAACACCCAAGAGTGCCCCACTCCCCCACACCCCCCCCCCCACTATACACACAAACCCACATGCTGGCAAATGGCAAAATCAGTGCAACCAGATGGGTGAGTGGCCTGAAAGTCGCTGAGACCATATGATGTAATCAGAGATTTTACTTGATGGAGATGTTAATTACTTTGTGTTCAGATAAATACTATAATGTGTGGGGAAAGAAACTATCATTTGGAGTCGACTCCTGTTTTAGAGCACGGGCTGTCAGGAGGCTGCTCCGGTTGCAGCTTTAGGATCTACGCTCTCAGCAAGGCTTCCTGAAAAAATAATTAAAGGACTCCCAGCTCAGCTAAGCACTTGATGTTTATATCAGGCAGATAGTAACAAAAAAACTTCTCAAAATTTGTATTTTGGCTTCTTAGCTTCTGTAGGAATCCATATGAAGTGTGTTAAATTTATGTGTCTGTTAGTGCACAGTGTGCTTGTCAAACCTTTTTTATTTTCAGAATAGGTAGCTGTTCGTGACGCTGAAATGGATCTAAAACAAAGACATATAGTGAGAGCATAGGGAATGCCCTGACCATCAGGTAAGGATTCAACAAACAATTACTTACTGCATGGCTGCTATGTGCTCAAGGACTCTGTGCACTCTGGGGGATAAAGAAGCTATTTTGCCCTTCAAGGAGACTACAGTAGAGAGTAAAAATTCAAGAGAAGGGCAGATACTAACCCAGATGCCTGTTCAGGAGTCACTTCTCTCTTTTTCCCAGCAGATGTCCAGTTTTGTTTGGATAGCAATGTGCCTTGCCCTGAGTGATGAACCATCTAAGCCAACCATGGCATCCCTTTGTTTTTTCCCAGACACTCCTTCTCCTAGCCTCTCTAGGTAGAGATGACACACTTGCCATTGATACTTCCTTCCTCCTTGGAACACTTACGTGAGGATGCAATGCCTGGAGCTACAGCAGTCATCTTGGAATGGTGAAGTAAAAAGCACATCGATGAAAATCCAACAGGCTAAGAATGGTGAAAACAAAGGGTAGAAAGACATTTTTGAGTTGTTGATGAGAGCTTGGGAGGACACAATAAATATCCTTACGGTTTAACTTTCCATTAATGTGGTCTTCCATGACGTGTAACTGAATGCTCTCTAAACTGATACAACATATATTCATAAACTAATTATGAATCAGGCAATAGACAGTCCTAAAGTCTATGGCGTTGGATACCAGAGAAAGAATAACTAAGACAGAAACATTTATCAAATACTTACCACGTGCCAGGCAGTCTGCCTGATGTTAGTACCCATACACATTGAGAAAGCACAACAGACACTACCTGCAATGTAGTAGAAGAGGCTGGACCTGAGCTAGGCCCTAAAAAGTGGTTAGAATTGAGGAAGGTAGAGGGTTAGAAAGGGGATTCTTCTAGGGAAGGAGAGCAACATAAAAAAGGTAAGGTGGTGAGAAAGTTCTTGACTTCTGCAGGAGACAGGGAGTAGATCATGCTGAGAGAAGGAAGAGTAAAGCATAGGGGAACAAAGAGAAGTCAAGTGGAGTGGGTAGGGATTGATTATCGAAGGTCACAATAGTCAGACAGAGGAGTTTTGACCTGATTATCAGGTAATCTGGTAACCAGTGAAGGCCAAAGGAAGTTGGTTGTCGTATTATGGGGGCTGCATGTTACTGTGATGCTGAAAGCTATGTCACCAGTATTTCAAATACCAGCAGGGCCACCCATGATGGACAGCTTTCAGCGGAGCTTCCAGACTAGACAGATGAGAAAGAAGGACCTGACCACCCACTTCTGAAAAAGTTGGCCTTGAAAACCCTGTGAATGGCAGCGGAGCATTGTCTGACATAGCACCGAAAGTGAGAGGATGGCACAAGGACACTGGGCAGGGTTACACTCTGCTGTACATGGAGTCACTAGGAGTTGGAATTGACTCGAGGGCACTGACGACAAAATTATTATATAGCATTTGTTATGTGCCAGACTCTGTTCTAAGTGCTCTACATAATAACACATTTAATCTTCAAATGACTCTGAGATAGATATGAAGAATTTTACAGATGAGGATGTGAGGCACTGAGAATTTTCCTAACTTGGCAAAGGTAACACAATTAAGAGAAAGCAGTAATAAAGTAACTAAGTAGTAATATGGGTATGAGGGCTTAGACTAGGGTGATGTATCAGGGAAAAGAAAAAGCCAGTCTAGCAGTTTCTGTTATCTTAGCAGCTCACTTCCTGCCCCTACATTCATCAACAGAAGCTCATAAAAGTTCCTTTGCACTACATCTGGTTGCTTCTAGAACTCTTTCTGAACCTTGCCTCTCAACCTCTTTACTCCATCTTGCAGGCTCTACACTACAAAACCTTCCCCATATTTCTCATTGTTGTTCTCAGTCCTCTCCCATGGTCTTGCTGCTTTGGCCTCTCATTGGTTCATAGAACATGAACCTCAATGCCCTGTGCTCTGATCACACAGTCTTAGCCAACCCCCTTCCCATTCCTACCCAGTCTGCCTAAGCTCTTAGAACGCCAGGCCTCCAGCCTACCCTGCAGGAAGAGCAAGCCAAGTGAATATGAGAGAAGTTTTCGAGGAAGAATCAGTTCTTCAAAGGATTGGTTTGTTGACAAATTGCTTCCAGGGAATGAATGAAAGGGTAATGTTCTAAACACCAATATTTCTAGTCTCAAGAGTAGAATAGTAATAGTGTTACCACCAACAGAAGATGGGATATGGAAAAAAGTCCATGATAATATCAATTGGGATATAAAAAGATAGACCTGTAGCCTAATAGTGTCAGAAGGTGTTAGAGGCCATTGGGCCAAATCCTCTGATGTTGGGTTTGTGTTGAACATTCAGGCAGAAGGGTCCTGCGGAGTTAGTAGGTTAAGATGAAGTCGCCCAATATGAAGGCTGGGACTCAAGTTCCTGGTTTGGGAGTCAAAACCATCATTATTGGTGTGAAAAGTGAAGGGAGAGACTGGGTGGAGCAAGCAGATATTGAGGGAGGAGTCTTAAGGGCTCAGGGGACAAAGCCCCAAAAGGGAGGAATACAGATAAGAAAGAACTGAGGAAACGGAAGTAGAGACTGAGAAACAGTAGAAGAGGAGGAGCAGAATCCGGACATCAGTGCCAAGGACTTGAGAAGAGGAAAAAGTTTCAAGGAGTTTTTAGCTGAGATGAAAGTCCCAGAGAAGTCACAGCTGAATTGAAAAAATATTTTCCTAAAGGATCTCCAAACCTTTAGAGTTAGATCCTATTTTAGAATTGAATATATTTTCCAATGCCCAATGATTTTATCCATTTGCTTACTGAAAGATGTCTTGGAAGCTTCCAAGTTTGGGCCAATATGAATAAAGCTGCTGTAAATATTGGTGTGCAGGTTTTTGTGTGGACATAAGTTTTCAACTCTTTTGGGTAAACACCAAGGAGCACGATTGCTGGATCACATGGTAAGAGTATGTTTTGTTTTGTAAGAAACCACCAAACTGTCTTCCAAAGTGGCTGTACCATTTTGCATTCCCGCTAGCAATGAGTAAGAGTTCATGTTGCTCCACATCCTAACCAGCATTTGTTGATATCCATGTTCTGGATTTCGGGCCATTCTAATAGATGTGTAGTGGTATCTCTTTATTGTTTTAATTTGCATTTCCCTGCTGACATATGATATAGAATATCTTTTAATATGTTTACTTGCCATCTGTATATCCTTTTTGGTGAGGTGTCCGTTAAGGTCTTTGGCCCATTTTTTCAATCGGGTTGTTTGTATTCTCACTGTTAAGTTTTAAGAGTTCTTTGCATATTTTGGATAACAGTTCTTTTCATTTGTTTTTCTTTCTTTTTCTTATTGCAGTAACATTGATTTATAACGTTTTATAAATTTCAGGTGTACATCATTATATATTTTGATTTCTGTGTAGATTACATAATGTTCACCACCCAAAGACTAATTACAATCCATCACCACACACATGTGCCTAATTACCCCTGTCACTCCCTCCCTCCCCCTTCCCCTCTAGTAACCACAAATCCAATCTCTGTCTCTATGTGTTTGCTTGTTATTGTTTTTATCTTCTATTTATGAGTGAGGTTGTATGGCATTTGACTTTCTTCCTCTAACTTATTTGACTTAGCATAATACCCTCAACGTCCATCCATGTTGTCGAAAATGGCAAGATTTCATTTTTTGATGGCTGAGTAGTATTCCATTGTGTACATATACCACATCTCCTTTATCCATTCACCCCTTGATGGGCACCTAGGTTGCTTCCAAGTCTTGGCTATTGTGAATAATCCTATAATGAACATAGGGGTGCATATATCTTTATGCATTCGTATTTTCATGTTCTGTGGATAAATAGCCAGCAGTGGAATAGCTGGATCGTATGATTGTTCTATTCTTAATTTTTTGAGGAATCTCCATACTGTTTTCCATAGTGGCTGCACCAGTTTGCACTCCCACCAGCAGTGTATGAGAGTTCCCTTTTCTTCACAATCTCTCCAACACTTGTTATTTCTTGTCTTGTTAATTATAGACGTTCTCATGGGCGTGAGGTGATATTGTTACCACCTACAAACATAGGTTCCCTACCCGCCACAAAAGAGGGGCCAAATAAAAACTGAAACTCCAGGCTTATGGCAAGGAAAGGGTTTTTATTGTGGATGACATCAGCTGAGAGACAAGAGTGAGCCCTCAAATTTGTCTTGTTTCATCTTGTCTACTCAAAAGAGAGGAGCCGAGGGGTTTTAAAGGTTTGTGAGGAATGTGGCTGATTGTAGATGGCAGTGGGAGTCAGTGACCTTGCTAGTCGGAGTTTTTCCACCAGCCTGCGTTTGGCCTTGGGACACTGTTTTCAGGGAGGAGGAGGAGATGATAAGGAACCCAGGTGGGCGACCTTGGCTGTTTGCATCTATGGCGGATAGTGGATTCTGGAGCCAGGGAGCCAGGGAGTAAGCAGGAAAGGCGTATTTTGATTTTAACCTCATATATGCTGGGTTTAATGTAGAGGAACTAATATCAGGGCCGGCATCAATAGCTCATTGTAGTTTTGATTTGCATTTCCCTAATAATTACTGATGTTGAACAACTTTTCATATGCCTGTTGGCTATCTGTACATCTTCTTTGAGAAAATGTCTGTTTAGATCTTTTACCCAGTTTTTTTTTTTTAAAGTAGGGAGTGTGATTTCTTTTTTTATTTTTTTAAAGATTTTATTTTTTCCTTTTTCTCCCCAAAGACCCCCCAGTACATAGTTGTATATTCTTTGTTGTGGGTCCTTCTAGTTGTGGCATGTGGGACGCTGCCTCAGTGTGGTTTGATGAGCAGTGCCGTGTCCGCGCCCAGGATTCGAACCAACGAAACACTGGGCCGCCTGCAGCGGAGCGCGCGAACTTAACGACTCAGCCACAGGGCCAGCCCCTTTTACCCATTTTTTAATTGGGTTGTTAGTTTTTTGTTGTTACGATGTGTGAGTTCTTTGTATATTTTGGATATTAACCCCTTTCAGTTATATAGTTTGCAAATATCTTCCAATTGTTAGGTTGTTTTTTCATTTTGTTGATGGTTTCCTTTCCTGTGCAGAAGATTTTCAGTTTGATGTTGTCTCATTTGTTTATTTTTTCTATTATTTCCCTTGCCCAGTCAGACATGGTACTTCAAAATATGCTGCTAAGACCAATGTCAAAGAGCATACTGCCTATGTTTTCTTCTAGAAGTTTCATGGTTTCAGGTCTTACATTCAAATCTTTAATCCATTTTGAGTGGTTTTTGCGTTGGTTTTTGTTTAAAGTGTAAGATAATGGTCTACTTTCATTCTTTTGCATGTCGCTGTCCAGTTTTCTCAACACCATTTTTTAAAGAGACTTTCCTTTCTCCATTGTATGATCTTGGCTCTCTTGTTGAAAATTAGCTGTCCATAGACGTGTAGGTTTACTTCTGGGCTCCAGATTCTGTTCCATTGATCTGTGTGTCTGCTTTTGTGCCAGTACCATGCTGTTTTGTTTACTAT